CTGTCAATTATTAATTAATAATTAATTGTTTTTTCTGCAATGTTTTTTGGGTCTCGCTTTTACTTTTCATCCTTCCATTAATTGTCATGTTACTGATTGCAATCATAGGTCAAAGTTAAATTTGACTCATTAGGAGCCAAATAATTTTTTTTAATTAAAGCATACATTTAGTATATATCTCTAACTAAATAATAGTGAATTATGTTAGAAATTTTCGTCCGATTGAATCTTTTTGTTCTCCAATGCTCCATAGGAATCTATTGCTATTCTTTTTCTTACACCGGCCAAAAAAATGTTCATTCCGAACCACAAGAATTCTCTCTTTATTCTTTTCTTTATTTTGTAAATAGAGATCAAATTTGTCACTTTTTAAGAGTAGAGAGATCGAAATAGTCATTTTGAAAATACGACTAAAATGAACAAAAGTTAGAACTAGAGTGAGCAAAATAAACCAAAGCCAAAATTATATAGATCAAAATAATATTTAAATAATTTTTTTAAAGTATAAGAATATAAAACTAAAATGTAATTTGAATAAAATAAAAATAAAAAATCAATATATTTCAATTTTTATATTTTAATAGAATTTAGAAAAAATGGCATTTTAAACTGCTAATTTTAATTCAATATATAAAAAAATAGGTTAAATCCTTAAAAATGCTCTTTTTCTTTTAAATTTTCCCAACGATTACAGCAAGAAACTCAATGTGAATGGGAGAGGAGTCAAACAAAACTCAAAGATATCTTTCGTCTATAAATTAAAAATAATTAAAGATCATTGTAGATTTCTTTCAGGTGTTTAATTCTTTTTTTTTAAATAGTATATAGCGCTATACGGTAAAGAAAATCATCTCTCCATTGGAGGGATTCATATTAGAGCTTTATTCTATCTCCATCCTACGATCGAGATTTCTCAATGTTCTTGTTCTACCTCTTTCTCTGAGATGTCTATTATCAACAAAATTTAATTATAAAAGTATTGCCTTCATTTCGACATCATTTAGAACCAATTTCAACTTAAAAGGGGTAAAGATTTACAAAAACAAAAACTAGTAATAACAAATAAAACAACACCGTAAAAGTAATTAAAAAACTCATAAATTGACCATTTTATGAACTCTAGAAAAATCATCCCATGTCAGAGAGAGAGAGAGGAGAGAGAAAGCATGAACCGAACCAAACCAAAATGTGGTGGAGGAGAAGAGTTGGTCAAAAACGACATCAAATGGGTCGTACCATTCACATGGAAGATAACATTAAAAACAGCTCTACAGAGAGAGAGAGAGACCAAAAAAAAATGGTATGAATTTGAAATAGAGAGAAATTTTAATGAGAGAGACTTTTGAATTTTGATTTGAGACAAAAATGGTTATAATATACGAATTAAATTAATCCAATATCCACTCAAGTTTTTTTTCGGATTGAATGATGGTTTATTTATCCTTAACACAAATACCTTGACTTTGGCTTCACTTAAATATTGGTTGGTTGTTAATTAATTAAGATACTCCCATTATTAGTCCACATGTTCTCTAACTCCTTCAACAGAAAAATAAAATAAAATCTCTTCTTTATAATTTATTTTTTATTATATAAATAACGTTGCTTGACCAACATTATATTATATATTTATTTATTACTTTGAGACATTTTGAAGATTCGTATTTAYGAGATCAATCAGCTAAGGAATTACAATCTCTTTAAAACTCTCCCCATGCCAATTAATTTATTTATTAATATTCTCATTCACCGTTCCCCCTTCATCTATATCGAAAGTTTCGATATCTCTCCTCTAGTCTATAGTTATTGCATTGGGGAGAATTTCTCTTTCAAACACAATCCTAAATTATTTTGAGTGTTTGTGTTTGGTCCATAAAAATTACGTAATCTGACAATGTTTGCTCGAGTAATTCTATCTGGCACGCAGTGTGCCCACTTCCTAGCATTGTAGCTAGATTCCACCCCGCTACTAACCAAGACCATATGATTGCTTATACTTTTTGAATAGAAGTCAAGCTTTCACTATTTACGAGTACAATTCTACTATTACTCTTTGACTCCCAACTTTGATCTAATTTAAATAAGTAAGGAGTATTTATTAGACACTGCATCGGTACCTTTTTTCGTCTTCTTCATCTTTTTTTTAACCAAATTCAATCCAATATTTCATTTTCTAACCAA